TATTGGTCTGTAAATGCTGTGTGTCTACACTCATGGAGGATATTGGTTGTAAATGATCTGTATCTACACTCATGGAGGAATTGGTCTGTAAATGCTGTGTGTCTACACTCATGGAGGATAGTGGTCTGTGGTGCTATTTCCCTTTTTCTGTCCTGTCTTTGATAGGTTTTGGTGTCAGGATAAACTGACTTCATGAAATGAATTCCCTCTTCTTCTCTTCTCCGGAAGAGGTGTACAAAATTGGTATTAATTCTTATACTGTTTGGTAGAATTCTACCCTGAAGCCATCTGGGCTTAAAGATTTATGGTGCTAGGGCTATTCAATGATCTGTTTCATATTAGGTTAGTTTTGCTTATTTGTGGTCTTAGGAATTGGCCCATTATTGAAATTTTCTGTATTTTCATTTATTTCAAGCACATTGTAGTTATTCATTTCTTTATTTTTTTAAAAGATTTATGTATTTATTTATTAGAGAGCATGTGTACACGGGGTGGGGCAGAGAGAGAGGAAGAGAGAAACTCCAAGCCGACTCTGTGCTGAGTGCTAAGCACAGAGCCCAGTGCAGGGCTTGATGTCAGGACCCTGAGATCACAACCAGAGCCAGAACCAAGAATCGGCCCGACTGTGCCACTCAGGCACTCCCTACTTGCTCACTTACGACAGCTGCTTTAAAAACTTCTATTGGTTGTCTTTTTTCATTCATTTTGAGATCTTCCTGATTCTTAATACAATAAATGATTTTTGGTTGACACTTGGACATTCTGACTATCCTGTTATGAGACTCTGGATCTTACTTAACCCTTCTGTTTTAGCTGGCTTCCTGTGGCATTGCTCCAGCAGAAGGGAGAGAGGCAGCACTTGTGGCCTCCACTGGCACCATGCAGTGGGGCAGGGGTCTCACTGCCATCTGGTAGGGTAGAAAGTTTCAGCTCCCTGTTTGGCCTCCTTTGACCCCAGTGCAGCTTGGTAATGTTGTTGAGGTAGAAGTCTAAGCTCCCCACTAAGGCTACAGTTTTTCCTGTGGTGTTTGCATGGTGGTTATAGGCCAAATGTTTTTTGTCCTAGGCAGCAATAAACTAAAATTCCATAAACTGCTTTCATGGGCATCCCATTCTAGTTGAGAGGAATAGACTGTCAATAAGTAAAATACTGAATATTTCTGTTGTGATTGCCCTCAGGTAGAGATAGAGTACAAGGTGAGGCAGAACTTGCCTGTTACAAATAAGATCATCAGGGAAAGTCTCATTGCTCAGGTGACATTTGAGCAAAGCCCTGAAGGACCGGCAGAATATTAGGGAAATGGTTTTTGGGTGAAAGGCACAACCTTCCTGGCTTCAGTTTTCCGTGAAGAAGCAGGGGTGATTGTGTTCGTCAGCACCATGTGGAGGCAGAAACAGTGGGTCTGGGAGCCTCCCATGGACTGCTGTATACAGGTGTAGTAACATAGGCTGTTTTGTTATGAGGGGCTAGTAATGCTGATTCCAGGTTCCAGGCTTGGAGAATGGGGTAATGCCACTAACTAGATAACTCAGGAGCAGGGACACGGTTAGTGGGTTAAAGAAACTCACTTACAGATTTATTGAGTTTATGGTTCACACAGACTTCTCCAGTGTAGATATACGGCAGAGCTCCAAAAACAGGTCTTTATTTCTTCAACTAATATTAGTGACCAGCTGTTATGGTGCCCGAAAAGGAGTAAGGTGGAGTCCCTGCCCTCAGGCAAAGTGGCTGTGGGGGCTGGATCAGTGTTAGAGCTCAGGGGTGCCAGGAACTTAAGGGGAGTCAGGAAGAGGGTAGGTGGGCAGTTCCTGGGCATTGTCCTAAAAGGAAACTCTGTGGCTGTGGAGTGAATGGAGGAGGGGAGCCACAGGTGGCCCTAGGTTATCAGCCTGGACAGGGGTGATGCCGTGTGGCAAGGAGGAGGGGAGGTTAGAGGATGTACCTGACCACCTTGCACACTGTCCTTACAGACTTATGGAGAGGTTTCTCATGGACGGATTGTATCCTTCAAGGTTTGCGGTGTTCTGTGTTCCTGTGGTCCTTCCCCCCTCATGCCAACTCAACCTCACTGTTCACCCCTTCATTCCAGTGGTCCAGGGAGGAGGGATAGGTGAGTGAACACACAGGTTTCATTCATGCTTGTTTCTTACCAGCTGGCAGCACACATCATCGATGCTGCGTATTTTGGAGCTTACTTATATTTGCATTTGCTTTCTATCAGGAAGACAGTAGAATGGCTAATAGCACCTAGTCATATGCCTGGATTCAAACTCCACGTCCTCCTTCTTACTAGCTCTGGTAACCTCTGTGACCTCAAAACTTGGGCTAACATTTTACAGTTCTCTGGTATGAACAAACTTTGTAAAACAGGACCCACTCCCTCCTCCCATGGATTGTCCACATTGTCTAGGTTTGCAGTGAGACACTCCCTGGCAACCGGGATGGTTTTAAAAAAGCTTCCCAGGTGAATCCACGGAGAACCATGGCAGAAAAGAACTCTGGAGTGACACCACTCCCTGCTCTGGGCCGTGTGGGCCTTGCCCTCCCCCCCAACAAGGTGGAGTCTGAGTATATCTTGCTTCACCTCATACCACGTGCTCCTTCACACCCGCCCGCCTGCCTCCCCCCACCCCTTTCCCTCGGCTTGCTGGTTAAAGCTCTCTGCACCTTGCAGCTTCAGGAAGTCTCATTCCCCAGGCTTTTTGTCAGTGTTTCACACACAAGCAATTCATAAACAGCTTGTCAGCTGTCTGGCTTCTGGAGGCTTTTTTCCCTGGAATGGTCACGTGCTGCTTAAGGCTGGGTTTCCTCTCTGGCCTGCAAGAGCCCCATCCGTAAAGGGACTGGGACACCCACGGTTGCATTTTCCAACTACCTGATGCTGTTGATGATGGCTTCTCTGTAAAATTCCATTCCGTGTTGTCCCTGGTACTTAGAGGTCCAGAACACACCCCAGCTTCTCCTGCCTCTCGCCTTTCCATGGAGTTTGTGCCAGTGATCTTTGAGGTTGATCCTCTGCAAGATTCATTCCATTTAAAATATGAAGAACTCCAGAAAGAAAAAGAGAAGGCCAGTTTCATCACACCAGTGCCCCCACCCCAAGCACCTTCCCTGCCTTCCTTTTGTTCATCTCTGTTCCTTAACCTGAATGCAGTCAGCCACAGCAGCTGTCCACGTACGCCCTGACCCTGTACAAGCACATGGCCACGGTGGACGGCAAGACTGTCCTTGTGGGTGAGCAGCACAAGGCCGGGCCATGGACTCTCTAGGGGGAGGGGAGGGGAGGGGAGAGAAGTCCGTGAGAGAGAGTCAGACAGGAAGGAAGTGAGACCCCCAGCAGAGAGTAGGGGTGGTAGGAAGGAGCCTGGGAGCCCGGAGCCCAGGGAAGGGGGGAGGAGGCGCACAGGGCCTCATTTCCAGCTCTCTGACCTGGTATTCTAATTTAGTCAGTGTAAAGCAATAACAATTGTGGTCTGAGTGTTATCTTCCACAAAAGGTTTTGACTTTCTGTGATGTCACTACCTCCTGCTTGGCTAGGCCACACATCCTGCCTGGCAGTGTCTGCCATCTGTGGTCAACACACGTGGGAAGTCAGCCTCGTTTCGACCTTGGAGGGCCCTGCATCTTGTGGGCGGGAGAATGGGGAAACCTATCTTCTCCCTTTTGGGACTTCCTGTCTGCATTCTCCTTCCTCCTGGCCTGGCCATGTGTTTCCCTCTTACCCACTCCCATGCACGCACATGTACACAGACGTCCCATGGCACACCCAGGTGCGTTGTGTCCTGATGACGCACACATGCAAGCTGCGTGCTCCTTGTTCCTCCCTGTCCTCCCCACATGTTGTGTTTCTGCACACACAGATCTGCACAGAGACGCTCAGGGTGTCCGGGTCTCTCTGCCCTCCAGCCGCATCACACAGTCAGAATTGTGTTCATGTTGCAGACTTTTGGGACACAGCAGGCCAGGAGCGGTTCCAGAGCATGCACGCCTCCTACTACCACAAGGCCCACGCTTGCATCATGGTAGGAAACCAGCTGGGCAGTGGACAAAGGCTCTGGGCAAGCTTGAGGGGTGACCCAGTAGTGCTGAGCCCTCCTCACCAAGGCTGGGTACTGGGGGAGAGGGGATCAGGGCAGCCTGGGGAGGTTTCTGAGTGAGAATATGCCCGGGTGAGCTTCTCTTCAAGTGGGGCTGGATGAGGAATCCCCATCCAGGGGGTGGAGCACATCCAAGGCCTCAGATTCGGGCATGGTGTCTGAGAGGCAAATGCGGTCCTTCCCTGATAGGAGCCACCCACTCTGACAGGCTCCCAAACCAGCCCCTCTCCTCTGTGCTGTCTAGAACACAGTCTTGTGGTGACCATATGGGGATCTGAGAGTCCCAGAGGGAGCTGCACTTTGAAACCCTGACGGGGATGCTCCTCATCCCTGCCATGTCTTCCTCAGCTCTGGAAACAAGGAGAGGTAGCTCAGGAAACCAGACAGACATGGATGACAGGTGACTGATGGCGATCACAGGGGGCAGCCTGGTGTTGAGCGGATTCCAGAGGATTCATTACAAGTGTGCTTTATAAGAAGTCTTTATTGGGGATTCAAGACAACATGGTCATTTGTTGAAATGGGGCCTCGGTGTACTGTGGAGGAGCCTCCCAGGTGGACCTCCTGTTGCCTCAGCTGTAACAGCTGCTGACCCTCGCCCACTGCCATTCAGGGCAATCCCCTGGCACTGGGTGAGGTCCATTTGCTCCCATGAAGGGCTGGATGGTTCAGAAGGAAGAGCAGCCATTCCAGCAAGTTACAGGGTTGTCCACCTCGATCCACGGTTGTGCTGGGGCAGTTTGGGCCTGTGAGTCCATCCCAGAGGCTGGCCTTTGAGGCGCTCCCGCCAGGGGTTTGAGGGACCCCATCCCTGCCGCAGTAATTCCAAGCATCTCAGGACTTCTGGCCTCCCCTGCCCTTAGAGCAAGTCTGCAGTGCTCATGCTTATTGCTAATATTTTAAAATAGGTAAAAACTATAAATTTAAAATGTTAATCAAATTACAAGCTACAAAATAATAATAAAAGCTAGTCTTTCCAACTCCGGCCACTGTTGTGAGAGGGGCTGCTGCCATGTGCACGCACGTGCAGTGGGCGGTCATGCAGAACCGCTCCAGCTTCCTGATCAAAAGGAGCAAGCAGACACAGAGCACTGAGGGCTCACAACTCCTTCCCTTCAAGGGTCCAATTCACCTCAAGACTCTGGGCGTGGAGCCAGTGGCTGAAGACAGAGGTGTAGTGGTGGTCGTGAAGCACAGATCCGTCCAGTAAAAACCTGCCACCTCCTACGTGCAGACCACCATCAACAAGAATGCCCGGGCCACCCTCAGCAGCACCAGGCACATGTTCTACAAGAACAAGTACCAACCAGATCTGCGCATGGCTGCCACTTGCAGAGTCAGTGCCATCCTGCACAGCCCAAAGCCCGTGATGGTGAAGAGGAAGCCGGCCCGCCCCATCAAGAGCTCCTGAGCACCTGCCCCCCACCTCCAAAGCAATAAAGATGTCAAACCACCTCCAAATAATAATAATAGATAAAAATGGTTTAAGAGGTTTAAAATACAAAATGAACAAGAGATCAAACAAAAATTTAAAATTAAAAGTACACCAATAGTGGGTACCCGGGTGGCTCAGTCCGTTGAGCATTTGATCTTGATTTCAGCTCAGGTCCTGATCTCAGGGTCACGGGATCGAGCCCCGTGTCAGGCTTGTGCTCAGCAAGGAGTCTGCTTGAGTTTCTCTCTTCCCCCCTGCCCCCTGCTTGCATTATTTGTCTCTCTCTCTCTAAAATAAGTAAAATCTTTATTTTTAAAAACACATTAATAGTAACTACAGGGAAATTTTAGAGGCATTTGAAATTATTACAAAGGAATTTTTAAAAAAGACTTATTTATTTTTGAAAGAGAGAGCATGTGTGTGCGGTGGAGAGGGGAAGGGCAGAGGAAGAGGAAGAGAATCTCAAGCAGACTCCCCAAACCGAGAGTCAGACGCTCAGCCGACTGAGCCACCCAGGCACCGCACAAAGGAATTGCAAGACAAAGTTTAAGCAATAAAAATAATAGACTAAGAAGAAACCAAAAAATTTACAGTTTGCAACAGACTGTGTTGCTTAGTACAATGATACATCTTGGTTAAGATAGGTTCACAGGATTAGGTGGCAAGGTAACAAAAAAGGAATAAACATTTTAAAGGCCGCTTTTGGATCCAGAGGTTCTGGGGGCTTCCCTGAGAAGGGCAGGCACAGGGCCTCTCACCTGCTTGTGTGTGTCAGGTGTGGGTGGTGTGCAGACACGCACCTGAGTTATTTTCCTTCCTCTGTTCGTTGCAGGTGTTTGATGTGCAGAGGAAAGTAACCTACAAGAACCTGAGCACTTGGTATACAGAGCTTCGGGAGTTCAGGCCAGAGATCCCATGCATCGTGGTGGCCAATAAAATTGATGGTGGGGCCATCCCTGCATCTGGGTGTCCACACTCCATGGGGGCCCCACCACCACACATTTCCTCCTCCATTCCTGGGACAGTAAACCTTCAGTGATCTGTCCTCCTTCCCAAAGTACAGCCCTTGTTTGCTTGCCGTCAGTCTATTTCCAGTAAAGATGCCAACTGAGCCAGTCTTCCCTCTTCCCAAGACACAGATCCCTATTAAATGAACTCTTTCTAGGACATGTCCCCTGATTGCCCCTGCCTGTCCCACTTTCTGGAATGGCCTCTGGTGACCCACTCTGCAAAACCCTCTCCCTTTCCCTTGATGGACAGTCCAATGTCCTACCTTCTCTCTACAGCAGACATAAAGATGACCCAAAAGAGCTTCAATTTTGCCAGGAAGTTCTCCCTTCCCCTGTACTTTGTCTCAGCGGCTGATGGTACCAATGTCGTGAAGGTAATGGTGGACTGCAGAGGTTAGGAAAGGCCAAGTGGTCAAGGGACCAGGGAAGCCGCAAAGAGAAGGATTGGCTGCAGGGAGAGGACAGGCCTTGCTGCAGGGGCCATGAGTGGGCAATCCAGAGCAAGTGGTGATAGAAAGGGGTCATGGTTTGTTTTGACAGTAGGGGAGGTGATGGGCCTGGGCTTGGTGGGAAAAAGTATATTGGTTGGGAGAAGGTGAATTGAGGGGTGACCTTGCTTAATAGGGGTGGAATGTTGTGTGGACATAGGACGGGGACAGGGCACTGGGACCCACTGCCATGTCTTCTTTCCCGCCACCTCCACCTACCCCCAGCTCTTCAATGATGCGATTCGATTAGCTGTGTCTTACAAACACAACTCCCGGGACTTCATGGATGAGGTTTTGCAGGAGCTTGAGGTAGGTCAGGTGGAAATGTTGGAGGGGATAAAGCTCCTCTGCAGAGAGATGCAGAACATAACCCAGTAGAGTGGCTCCTGCTGGCCCTTGCAGGCAATGCATGCTCATCGTGCATGCGCCCCCTAGAAGTATCAGAACTATGCGGGGTAGACCCAGGCCAGGCCTCACCTGCAACCTTGTCCACAGAACTTTGATTTGGAGCAGAAGGAGGAGGAAGTGCCAGACCGAGTGCAGCGTGGCAACATCGAGAGCCCCTCCCCTTCCTGAGTCAGAGAAGGAAGCCTCTCTCCTCGTGGACTTTGGGGAGGGGGGTGGTATCTTTCAGAATACCCTCCCCTCAGCAACCCTCCAGCTATGAATTGAAAAATTCTTGCAGGCCATCCCCCTGTCTACCTCCTGCAAGCCCACCCATTCCACTGGCCTGCCCTACTTCCACGGCCCACAGTTCCTGACCCTTCCACAGCTGTCCTTTTCCCTGGACTCGGACCGGGACAGGGTCTGCACCAGCAAGCACCCTGGACAGGTGTGAGAGATCCACAGCAGACCCTGAAGCAGAATTAGAGATCAGTAGCCTCAGCCTCCCCAGGTTGTGTGGAAGCAGGGAAGACCTTCGGGAAACATGCTTTGTGTCTCTCAAATAAAAGGAAATTGGGGTGTTTTCTCTCCCAGAACCGACCTCAGGGCCTATTCATTGCTTTTCCACCAAGGGAATGATTTCTAATCCCTGACGGCCCCTATTCCCACCCGTACAGATTTGGGGCGGGGGGGGCCTCAATTCTTTTTCCTCTTTAGTCTCCCAACCAACTTTTTTTCAGAAATGGTTTTGAGCAGACAGCTGTTCCTGTCACGGGACAGGTTTACCATTACAACCCAGGGAAACAGGTCACAAGTCCTGCCACCCTTAGCTGTTCTGCAAAGCACGTGCATTTGGGTTCTAAGAAGAGCTTCCCTTTAAAGCCCCTGTTCCAGCCGATGATGCTTTCCTGCCTTTTTTGGAGGACTGTTGTGGTATTGCCCTGTGGGGTAGGGAGAGGGGCCGCCCTGCTGCCTTTCCCACTTCTCTCCAGGACTTGTAGTTCACTGGTGTGTTTGTATGATCATCTTGTGCATCATCATTTCCACTGTTTTCATATTTACAGTAAAGTTTGAATTAACATAAACATTTCATGTATGTGCATGCTTGTGGGTCTGGATTTTACTGAGCAAAAAGCCACAAAATACCTTGAGATAATCAGCTAGATGAATGAGGGAAGCTGCCTTGATCTGCCATGTGAGGGCAGCCCGGTCAGCTCTGCTGTAATGGAGACCATTGCAATGGAATTTAGCGTTTTTTGTTTTTGTTTTTGTTTTTGTTTCAGATTTTGAGAGAGAGAGAGCATAAGTGGCGGGGGAGAAGCAGTCTCCCTGCTGAGCAGGGTTAGGGTTAGGCCCCTGAGGTCATGACCTGAGCCAAAGGCAAACACTTACCCAACTGAGCCACCCAGATGCCCCGAAATTTAGAGTTTTAAAAAGAATGAGTATTTATTTCGGAAGAACAAGAAACAAGAACAAGCTGTATTTGCCTTTAAATTGCTAATACTTACAATTTCAACTGAAAAGATTTACTTGACCTGGGATTTTGAGGAATGATGTGTTACCCTGGTGAGGTGGGCTTTTAAAAAAGCCCTTTGGTAGTGTATGTGACTAGTGTTTTTTTTTTAACATAAAGGCTTTATGGAGATATCATTCAAATACCATAAAATTCACCGTCAGTATTAGTTTTCCATAACCATTTTGCATCAGGTTCCCTAGTGAGGGGTCAGGAGGCCAGAAGCTAAGCAAGGGTGTGGTCTCCCTGCCCCTGGGAAGCTCTGGAGCACAAACTGGCCCACGGAGTTGGTCCCACTTGGAGATCAGGGGGGCTGTTTGTGGCAGTCAGCCAAGTGTGGGAGGGGGAGGAGGTGATGGCACCTAGCCTCCAAGGCGAAGTGGCTCCCGCATTAGCAAGGGCAGTTCTCTGGGGGAAAGGGCAGGTTTATCCATCAACTCTCAAAGCAGCCAGGGGAGGAGTGCTCGGGCAGGGTGCCAGCAGCAGCCATGGCCACCCACCCTCACATGCTCAAATCCACCTGCTGCTGAAAGTTCATTCCATCCTGACTCATACAGGAAACACCACCCCTGGATCTTTTTTTAAATATTTTATTGAGGTGAAACTTACGTAACATAAAATTAGCCATCTTAAAGTAAACGACGCAGTCCCGTTTAGTATGATTACAATGCTGGGCAACTATCACCTCTGCCTAGTTCTAAAATATTTCCATCACTCAGAAGTAAAACCCCTTGCTCATCAAGCAGTTTCTCCCCCATACCCTCTCCCTTCAGCCCCTGGCACATTCTAATCTGCATTCTGTCTGGATTTATATATCCTGGATATTTCACATAAATGGAATCCTACACTGTGACCTTTTGTGTCTGGCTTCTTTTACTTAGCGTAATGTTTTCAAGATTCATCTGTGTATTAAATACTTCATTCCTTTTTAGGACTGAATAATATTCCATTGTATGTATATCCCACAGTTTGTTTATCCATCCATTCCTTGATGGATATTTGGGCTGTTTCTACCTTTCAGCTATGTGAATGGTGCTGCTACAAACATGCTTGTACATGGACTTACAGTAGGTAAGTAGAACTTAGACCAGTGCTCCGTTCTCTTGGGTGCCTTACTCTGCTCAGGCTGCTATCACAAATTACCACTGATGGGTGGCTTACAACAGACATTTATTTCTCACAGTTCTGGAGCCTGGGAACTCTTAAGATCAGGGAGCCAGCAAGGTTGGGTTCATTCTGAAGCCCCCTTTCTTGGCTTGTCAGCAGCTGCCATTTCACTGAGTGCACACATGACCTCTTCTTTGTGTTCAAACAGAGAGAGATCTCTTTCTCTTCCCCTTCTTAAAGGACCACACAGATTAGGCCCCACCCCTATGACCTCATTGAACATGAATCCTCTCTAAATACTTTGACTCCGAATACAGTCACACTGAGGATTAGGGCTTCAACATATGAATTCTGGAGGGCCATAATTCAGACCATGGTACAGTATATATCTAGGAGTGGAATTACAGGATCATATGGTGATTACATGTTTAAACTTTGGAGGAACTGCCAATCTTTCCAAAGTGGAACCATTTACAGTCCCACAAGCAATGCACAAGGGTTCTGATTTCCCCACACCCTTGCTAACCCATGTTGTTTTCCATTTTTAAAGACAAATTTAAGCCATTCTAGTGGTTGTGAAGTGGTACCTCATTGTGGTTTTGATTTGCATTTCCCTAATGACATGATGTTGAGCCTCTCTTCATATGCTTGTTAGCCATTTGTGAATTTTCTTTGGAAAAGTATCTGTTCAAGTACTTTGCCTATTTTTAAATTGGGTTATCTTTTTTGTTGTTGAACTTTAAGAGTTCTTTATATATTCTGGATCTAAATCCTCATCAGATTTATGATTTACAACTATTTTCTCCCATTCTATAGATTGTCTTTACACTTTGTGGATAATGTCTTTGATGCACAAAAGTCTTTAATTTCTAAGAAGCCCGGCTTGTCTTTTTTTTTTTCTTTTGTTGCTCATGTTCTTGTTGTCATATCTAAGAATCCATTGCCAAATCCAAGGTCATGAAGACTTAACCTTTATGTTCTTTGCTAAGAGTTTTATGGTTCCAGCTCTTTAGGTCATTGATCCATTTTGAGTTATTTTTTGTCTATGGCATGAGGTAGAGGTCCAACTTCATGCCTGTGCATGTGGACGTCCAGTTGTCCTGGCACCATTTGTTGCCAAGACTATTTTCTCTTTGAATGGTTTTGCCACCTTTGTCAAAAATCAGTTGGTCACAGTTGTATGAGTTTATTCCTGGATTCTCAATTCTATTCTGCGGTCTAGATGTGTGCCCTTATGTCAGTACCACACTGTTATAATTAGTGTAACTTCATAGTACAGTTTGGAACTTAGGGAGTGTGAGTCCTTCAACTCCGTTCCTTTTAAAGATTGTTTGGACATCTTAACAATATGAAGTCTTCCAATCCACGAACATGGGATGTCTCTCCCTTTTTTGAGTCTTTCATTTGTTTCAGAAGTGTTTGTAGTTTTCATGTACAAATCTTTCACTTCTTGGTTAAGTTTATTTCCAGGTGTTCTATGGATGCTATTTCCCTTTTGATTGCTCATTGCCGGTTATAGGGACACAGCTCACTTATGTGTTCATGTTGTAGCCTGAAACTTTGCTGACTTCTTTTAATAACTCTAGTAGTTTTCTGTGGATACTTGTGCATTTTCTATAAATAGAATCATACGTGCATATGGAAAAGGTTTTTACTTATTCCTTTCCAATTTGGATGCTTTTTGTTTCCTTTTCTTGCCTAATTGCTCTAACTAGAACTTCCAGTACTGTGTTGAATTAAAGTGGTTAAAGCAGGTGTCTTTGCCTCGATCCTTATCTTAGGGGCAAAGTTTTCAGTTTTTTAATTTTGAGTATGGGTTAGCTTTGGGATTCTTCGTATGATCTTTATCATGCTGTAGAGGTTCCCTTCTGTTCCTAATTTTCTGAGTATTAATTATGAAAGGCTGTTGGAATTTGGTAAATGCTATTTTTCCTGCATCAATTGAGATGATTTTGTGGTTTGTCCACTTCATTCTATCACTGTGGTATATTACATTGAGTTTTGTATATTGTACCACTCTTCCATTCCTGTGATAAACCCCACTTGTTCATGGCATCTAATCCTTTTAATATGAGGCTGGATATGCTAGTATTTTGTAAAAGGCTCTTGTATCTATATTTATAAGGGATTTTAGGGATATTTTCTTTGTTTGTAATGTACCTTTGATATCAAAATAATGCTACACTCCTATAATGAGTTACAAAATGGTCACCCTTCTATTTTTTGGAATAGTTTGGGAAAGATAGGTGTTAATTCTTCTTTAAACGTTTGGTAGAATTCACCAGTGAAGGCATCTGGTTCTTTTTTTTTTTTTTTAAAGATTTTATTTATTTATTTGAGAGAGAGAATGCGAGAGAGAGAGAGAGCATGAGAGGGGAGAGGGTCAGAGGGAGAAGCAGACTCCCTGCCAAGCAGGGAGCCCGATGCGGGACTCGATCCCGGGACTCGATTCCGGGACTCCAGGATCATGACCTGAGCCGAAGGCAGTCGCTTAACCAACTGAGCCACCCAGGCGCCGGAAGGCATCTGGTTCTGAACTTTTCTTTCCTAGGAGGTTTTTTGTTTGTTTGTTTGTTTGTTTGTTTGTTTGTTTTCCAGACTGATGCAATCTTTTCTTTTTATAGGTCTGTTCAAACTTTCCATTTCTTCTTCCTATTTCTTATTGAACCAGTTTGGTAATTTGTGTTTCCTAAGAATTTGTTCATTTCATTTATGTCATATAATTTGGGAGACATGTACTTGTTTATAGTATTTTCTTATATTTCTTTTTATTTCTATATAATTAGTAGTAATGTTACTACTAATTTTTTATTTTAACTATTTTCACCTTTATTTTTTTCTTTGTCATTATAGCTAAAAGTTTGTCATTTTTGTTGATCTATTCAAAGAAGCAACTTTTGTTTTAATTGCTCCCTCTCTATTATTTTTCTATTCTCTCTTTCATTTATCTCTAATATTTATTATTTTCTTTCTTCTGCTAGCTTTGGTTCAACTTGCTCTTCTTTTTCCACTTCCTTAAAGTGTAAAGGTAGGTTACTAATTTGAGATCTTTCTTCTTTTTTAACATAGACATTTATTGCTATAAATTTCCCTCTGAGCACCGCCTTTGCTGCATGCCATAAATTTTTGTGTGTTGTGTTTTCATTTTCATTTGTCTCTAAGTATTTTCTATATTCCCTTGTGATTTCTTCTGTGATCCATTAAGCTTGTTTAAGAGCATTTCTTTAATTTCCACATCTTTGTGACTTTCCCAGTTTTTCTTTTATTACTGATTTCTGTTTCACCAGTTGTGGTCGGAGAAGATACTTGGTATGATTTCAGTCTTTTTAAATTTATTGAGAATTGTTTGTGGCCTAAAACATGGTCTATCTTACGGAATGTTCCATATGGGTTTGAGAAGAATGTGTATTCTGCTGCTGGGGAGAGTGTGCTATGTATGTCTGTTATAGGTCGTT